GAGAGTCAGGAGCTGAGTTCAGAAGCAAAATTTAATTTTTGCCCAGCAGGAGAATCAGGCTTCTGGATCAGGGGAACCAGTCACTATAGATGATGTGTTTTAGTTTGTGAAGCTGTCAAGCTTGGTGAGTTTGGGTAGAAAAGTCTTCAAGTTGTCAGAACTGAAAAAGTTTTGGCCATCTGAATTGTGGAAGACTCACACCAGTGAATTTGGAAAGGAATTAGAGAATTGTCTTCGCAATTCAAGGAAAAAATGAAGTCAGTTAAGTAAAAAAACTTAAAGAGTTGAGAAAGGAGTGAAAATTCTTTGGCATGGAGTAGCTGCAAAAGGATTGTGGTGGGAAATGAGTTCAAACTTTGTTTTGCAGTTTGTGTTATAAGTCTTTCTACCTGTGAGATAAATTGGTTTGTTTTCTTTCTTCTGTATACTAAACTTATGTTCTGTTGTTAAAGAACATCTGCAGCCTCATGTAAATATATTTCAGTGTCTAGGCCTCATGACATCCAACTTTAAAATTAAACATGAGGCCAGAATTTCTGAAGCTTTGTAATCTCATACAGATTGCCACTCTGCACCATATTTTCTATGAATGAAAGTGCTTTGCATTCCTGACAAGAGATGCTGTTCAGGAATGTGGAGCATCTATTCTGAAAAGTCATAAGCATAGAATAGTCAGGAAAGGCAAACCACACCACCTTTTTACAGCAGTCAGCTGCAGTATTCGGTAATTTATCTTTGCGGTAAAAGGAAAAGTACATAAGGCAGGTGTAAGGTTAGGGTGTCAGATGGATAGGGTACCAGACAGGTTACATGCCTTGTGGGTATGGTGCCAGGTGAACAGGGTGTCTTGAGGGTAGGGTGCAGGGTAGGTCGTTTCCAGGTAAGTAGGGTGACTGGTGGGTAGGGTATCATATGCAGGAGCAAGGTGGCAAGGAGCCAGATTAGTGGAGTGTTTAGTGTAGTTCAAAGTGAATGGGAGATATTGGGTCTGGCAGGGATGATGATGTTGATTCCCAGGGGTAGTGGGTCATGGGGCATTTAAATAAATACTTTTGGTTAGTTCCATGTTGAGGGGAATTGCAGTTCCCCATGCACACCTTCCAACTATGCTAAAGAAATAACTATCTGGACATTAGAAAATCCAAGCCATGTGATCTATCAAGCCAGGTTTCATTTTAGAATCTGATTTGGTCTGTATTAGATCAGCTGCAATCATAACATAACTAGGTCATTCAATGCGGATGATAGAAAGCACTTCTTCACAAAAGATACTGGAATTCTGGGATAGCAAGAACTGAAGATGCTGGAGTCAGAGACAACACAGTGTGGAGCTGGAGGAACACAGCAGGCCAGGCAGCATCAGAGGAACAGGAAAGTCAACATTTCGAGCCGGGACCCTTCTTCAGAAAATGGAATTCTGGAATGTTTTGTCACTCCAATGATAATGGGAGTGAGGACATGGTGGAGAGGATGTGTAGCCATGTCTCTCTATCAGGGGGAAATCCTTGGGGAGGCTGTTATTGTTATTACATAGATGATTGGTCAGACATGCCATGTGCCTTCAATATGCGATGTTACAGTGTGGTGCATTAGTGTTAACGTAGGGCAGTCAGTTGGTCATGTGATGTGTTACACATAGCCTGAGTTCTATTACAAGTGTTACCACTACATTATGTGACTATAAGTTTGAAATCTGTAACAGTTTAAATTGTTAGTGTTGTTAATAAACTGTCTCAAGACAGATCCAATCTTCATGGTATAAGTTGTAATGATACAGAAGTACTAAGGCCATATCAAATGACACATGGTAGTAGTGGTTGACACAAGAAACCACATCATGGTGATGGTTGTTTCAGGGAAGCTAGTCAGTTATAAAAGGTGATAACAGTTGTAGCAGTTTAAAGACGTTTTTCTTAACAAACACTAATCATCTACATGGATTTAGACCTGAAGTTTACAAGCAACAGCTAAGACCAAGTGGCACAGTGGCTCGGTGGTTAGCACTGCTGCCTCACAGCACCAGGAGCCTGCGTTTGTCTGTGTGGAGTTTGCATGCTCTCTCCGTGTCTGCGTGCGTTTCCTCTGGGTGCTCCGGTTTCCTCCCACAGTCCAATGATGTGCAGGCTAGGTGGATTGGCCATGCTAAATTGCCCATAGTCTCCAGGAATGTGCAGGTTAGGTGGATTCGTCATGGGAAATGCAGGGTTACAGAGATAGAATGGCTGTGATAGGATAATCTTCAAAGGGTCGATGTGGACACAATGGGCCAAATGGCCCGCTTCCAAGCTACAGGAATTCAACAAAATGCTTCAATTTATTCTGAAGCAAAGCAACCTCAATGAAAAAGGAATGTTACTGAGTCCTCACTTAAAAAAAAGGCCATAGTTTATGCAATTCAAAAAAATGGAAGCTTTGTAAGTGACACAGGACAGCTCCAATGTAGTTAAACAATCCTTGGACAAAAAGCAGGCAGAAATATTGAAAAAATATCTTCTGTGTTACTACGGTATTATCTGTGTCTGGATGTCAGTCAATTCCATCTTCTTGTTTTTCAGGAATTACACAAAAGCAACAAAAAAGGCACTAAAATAAAAACAAAGAACTGTAGATGCTGGAAATTTCCAACACAAACAGAAAGTGCTGGAGAAACTCAGCATGTTTGGCAGTATATGCAGAGGGAGAAGCAGAGTTAACATTTTAAGTCCACTGACCATTTTGTTGAGCTCTAAACAAAGTTTTGTAAAAGGATGAAAAGCAGAATCATTTCTGTTGTAGTGAATCGTCCTGAAAACAAAAAAAAAGCCACATTACCTCCCACCTCTTTTGATGCAAATCTAGATACAGACACTGATCTGTTACTGTTAAAGCAGCAATAATAAGAAGTAAACAAAAGGGGTCACCAAAAATGAAAATAGATAAAGCATTACAATGCATTCAGATCTTTTTACACGTGCATTTTGAACAGCATAGAGCTACAAAGTAAAATGGAAAGCAAACATTTAAGTATGGATTGGTATTCCGCTGACATGCTGTCAGAACCTCTGTTATTTCAAGAAAGAATTAATCGCTACTTTATAGATCAACAATAGCTGATAAGGAAAGACAAACAGTTTAACTACTCACTGATTTGGGAAATGTAGGATTCAGAATAATCAATTCTTTTGGTATTCTAATGATGACAGCAAGGATCCAGATTAAACTTTCCAGCTTTTACCACACCAGCTTCAGGTTTCAAGCAGCTTCAGTATACCCAGGCCCGAGCTCATCTCATACTGGCAACTGCCAGGTGAAAGAACTGACCAGTTTGTAGGAAGGTGTCAACACCAAAATATAGAATGAGGTTTCACCTAAACTAACTTAATTGAAATGCTTATGGGACTGATCATTGCCTCTACAACCACAAAATCATTCAGAAAAGCAAAACCTCTCACCAAAGCTAATTGATGCACTGCTAGATATTATGCCACATCTCTGGAGCAGGTGGGACTTGGAATTTAGGCCTTCTGGCTCAGAGGTAAGAATACTACTAGTGTACCTATAGACCTGCATTTATCCATGATAATACACGACCTCTGACACCATGGGCTCTTATCTTATTAAGTAGCCTATCTTGTGGTATCTTGTCTTTTCTGGAAATTCAAATGTATTATTTCCACTGCTTCCCCTTCAATCAATCCTGCTTGTTACCTCAAAAAGAATTCAAATAAACTTTTCAAGCATGATTTTCCATTCATGAAATCATTAGTGTGTGGATAATGAATTAGAATTAGAATTAGCCTTATTGCAATGCAAATATGCATCCTGGTCATATTTATCAGGAAAGGGTTTCCATTCTTTTGGGAGGTGGAGGGGATAATATTTTATTGTATAGATTCCAGACCAAACAGGCAGAGTGCCTTCAAGACATTCAAATGACATCACAACATGTGATGTTTCAGTATAAAGGTCCTCACCTCATATTCGCTGCCTGTCTAGTGTTTTACAGTCAATATATTGTAACATCAGTCATCATACAACCAAAACTGTGTATGAGCCTGAGATCTTATAACAGCATAAATATTTAGTGTTGTTAGTAAGCTTCAAACCATCTATCTAAACAAGAATCCAGTCTTTGTGGTATGTGGTAAAGGGCTAACATTCAGGGAAACACACAGGCCACATCATAATGGCAGTGGTGTTTGACCCAAGAAACCACATTAGAGGTATTTGATGAAGACAATGGTTGTCACACTGTTGTAAGTGCCCAGTATCACCTCTGTTAGGGGCAAGCCATAACTGGCCTGTGGCAGACCTTGCCTAAGATTAAGGACTCCAGGGATGGAAATTCCAATGTCCACTTGAATGCTAAGAGCTATTGGCCAATCAGATGCCGATAATTGTGAACTATCTTCTAGATTCTGCTGTAGCCACATTGCACCTCCTCACTATGAAGTGAAGGTTGCTTTTATGTCATGCAGGCGAGCTTTAACTCTTGTTAACCTATCAGGAATTGGATACTGTGAAGTGTGCAGCCTCTGGATTGGTGTTGGTTGGAGGCTGAAAACATGTTAATTATCAGGTAGTAGTGAGTCGGCATGATGTCTGCATCAGAAGCAACTGGCACAGTTAATTGTGCATTGTGATCTGTGTACCATTTCCAAAGGCTGGTATATTTAACTAGTAAGGGTCAGAGGTCCAAAAAGAAACAGGAAATGACTGAATAGATTACTGCAGGGTTAGCATTATTGTGCTTACTATGTTGAGAAGTAAATTTGACCAAACTATTTTCTGTAATTACATTTCTGGGTTTAAGAACCATATTTCACATGTTCTAGAACTGGAGTAATCTCTACAACAGGATTAAATACAATTGTCAGCTGTGAAGTGGATTTGGAGTTTAGCCTCATGAATTCAGCATATATGAATGCGTGAACGTGCATAAATAAATTTACATTCATCATAGAAGATTATTAGTACCTTTTATTATTTCAAAAATATGATTTTAAATAGCAGGTACAACATAACATTTAAAAAACTGTGAAACTCAGATTTCTTAAAGGATGGCTCCTGCCCAAAATAATTCCCAAATTACAGCATTGACATTTCTAGCATATTTAATAGCAATGCTTTAATGTTTAAAATTTCTACTTCTAGGCTCCTGTTTTTAAACATACAACATTTTTTCTGCATCACGTCCAGATAAAACTGGCTTTGTTACTCTGCTCTTGTCCCATTTACTTTCAGCTGACCACCAGGTGATCTGCACTGTTAATCCCCATCTTCCCAAGCTTTGTGAAAATTTATAGCAACACAATGGTAACTTTCTAAAGCTCGCTAGGGTCATGATTTTATCATATGACTAGCAGATACACATTACTATAACAGTTATTATTGCAAAAGTGCAATAAGTCAGGATTCATTCAAGTAGACAAATATTGCAAACATTTGAGTCACAGAGGAAGCATGATAGCAAAGCTCAGAAGAAATCATCCTTCAAAATGCAAACCATCAAGTCAATCAATTTTTAAAAGTTTGCTTATAAATATTAGGAAATTGTAGTTAAATATTAGCATGTTGCATATTTTACTTCACCTATAGAATTCTAATATTTTAACGTCACTATCATTAAATCATTAAAGTCACCTCTACCTTCCTCACAAAATATACACCTGTGTCCCCAACCTTATATAACATTTAGTCATTTTATATCAATGATAAAGCAGGGTCCCTGTGATCATTGTACTTGCTACCTAATAGAAGCCTCAGTGTACTATTTAACATTGGTGCACTATATACCATGGTAAAACAAAGTCGGTGTTTTCTCTCTCATTTCTTTCCACACCCTTAACCCAAAACAAGTAGGTGACCCATGGTTGGAGAAAAACTTCATTTCAGTAAATTAACCAAAACTTGAAGTTTATGGTTCTTTCTGTTTGCCATTTGTGGATCTCAGTGAGGCAACAAAGGACCTGTAGATTACAACATTTTTGTGTCCTCTCATACAGTATAACATCTAAGCAGAAAACGTAATGGTAACAAGGCCGGAAGTGAAGAGCTTTCATTCGTAACCAAACTCATTCATAATCTACATATGCTAAAACATATTTAGGAATGCAATTCAACATGTTTTCCTTTTCTCATTATATTTATTCTCGTTAAGTTTTATGAGACATTAACAAGTCAATCTTCAAATGAGAAATGAAAAATTCTCATGTGATCTTAGGCTAACATTACATTGATCAGAACACAAATGAGCAAGAATAGTCATTAAAATGTTCTTGGTTAGATGGCCAAAGAGTGGGAAGTGATTGTACCATAAATGTTTTCTGCTCCAAAATGTTCCTTGTTCAAGAAACTCAAAACATTTGTGAAGGGGGAGCCCATATACAGAAGCCAACAAGCCAAATCATACCAGTAGGTACCATTTCTAAAAAAAAGAACAAAAAATTTGGAAGTTTATTGTTCTCGCAAATAATTAACTGGACAGTCAAAATAAAGACCAACAAATGATTTATCAGATTTTTTCACATTGTTATAAACAAGGGACCTTTTAAGGTAATGGAATGAAATAAGGATATTTTTGACCTGAGCCCTGCCACAGTGTTCAATATTCACATCTCCTTCATTTCTGCAGGTTTACCATGCCAAGCAGCACCTATTGCTGTCCAACAGAGCAGTCAGAAAAATAACCAGTCTTCAAGTTATTCTAACAGTCTTCTAATAGTCACAAAATGTAGTGCGTCCTACTGCCTGGCAAAGTTCTTCCTGTTTGAAAACCTAATCAGACTCAGACACTCCTTGACCACTCTATAGGCGGGAGAATTACTGTGGGTAAACATGAACAAAACTTTTTCAATCTTGTTGCTTTGTGCTGCAGAAAGTTCATACACATACCCTGCTATTTCACAAGGTTTCCATCATTTGTACAGTTGAAATTCAACGTATTTAGAAAATGTACAATTTATGTCACATTACTCATTTTCAACTATTATCAAAACTTAGCTAAAATGTTTAGTTACAGAAGACTTAATTCAATATTGATACAATATTAATATTTTGAAATTATTATCCACACAATTAAGCATCTATTCTTTTATATTTTTGCAGATTAATTTGTTAAAATCATTATTGGTCTTTGGATTAAATACTTGTTTAAAATAAAAAGCAGTTTTCACGGATACCATTGAAAAAGTCAAGTTCTGCATCTATGGTCTAAAATTGTTCCCAAATGACTTGCAGATTATATATACGCATACCTTATATATATATAAAAATAAGACTACATAAGATAAATTCAAAAATACTTCAAATGGTGTACAATTTAGTGCAGCATTTCTAAGAGGCATTAAGTTCTACAAAAGCACAGCCCTGAGCCGTTAGTTTTGAACAGTATGAATAGGGACAGAGGTGATTATGATCATCCTCTGAATTGGTAAGCAGACTACTCTAAACCAGATGATTAGTTTTGTTGTACCAATAATGCATTTTCAATTCTGAGGCTTTATGTATGGAGTCAAATCAGTTAGACAACTAAAAAGTTACAGGTCTAGAACTTTAGGTTAAAATTTAAATAAAATGGCACCCCAAAAAACAGTACTTAGTGCACGTTTTAGTTATCCAACTGTTAGTATTCAGTTCTGTGCTTTACAAATCTGTACAAGTGGTTGTGCTGGGTAAAACACAGGAAATTCTACATAAATGCGGCCTTCAGTTCTTTAAAAGCTGCTCTTCGTTGCTTCCTGTCTTCTTCTATACGTTTGCGCCGCTCCTTCTCGGCTTTGATTTCAGCTTCAAACCTGCTGCCAGTTGTCAGAGCCTGGGCCTAGAAACAAGTGCAAGTTAATTTAGGCAATGGGATTTTGTATATTACTCGAAACAATTGCATGCTCCCTCCTTTCCCTAAAGAATTGCATTAGTCCCCAACCACAGGAAAAGGCACTAACTGGCATAACAGCCAGCCTTACTGCAGTCAGTTACTTTCAAATGGACAATCAGTGCCTATTTTGTTATTCTCGATATCACCAGAGATTGTTATTTGTAATCTGGATGAGAGGGAGTCATGTGGCTCAATTGCCAAAACAGCAGCCTCCTTCTCTTTAAGCTCCTTCAAGGTTGTAATAAAAACAAAAAATATTGTGGCTGCTGGAAATCTGAAACAAATAGAGAATGCTGAACAAACTCAGCAGGTCTGGCAGCATCTGTAGAGAGAGAAACAAAGTTAACATTTTGAATCCGGTATGACTCTTCTTCAGAACTGTGGAGTTCAATTTGAAATATTCAGCCATGATAACGTTTGAAAGTTTTCAACTGATGTGATTTTGGCTAGCCATATTTAAATCAACCACAATGGGGCTGAAATAAAAAGATTGTCATTCCTGCCAACAAGAAAGCTGTTAAAGTAATATCATCGCTTGTTGTTGGATGTTGGTCATAAAAATATTCGAGGGCAATTTGAGATGAACAATAAATGCTCATCTTTCCTTCAATGCCTACATCACATAGACAAATAGAAATGCCATAATTGAAACATGCACCTTCATGTGTGCAAGAAACTCACAATAAAGATAGAGCAATCTCGCTGAAATTAAAAGTTTGAACTGCAATTGTCTTGTTGATTACTGTTTAAACGCACAAGACGGTACATCTGAAATATTTCAAAGTAGAAATTTACTTCTTGGGATGGAGTACATGATGTTAATTACCTCACAATTAAATCCATTCGGTAGCTGCAAATGCAGGCTTCATGTAGCACCCTTCATGACCTCAGGTTGCTCCAAACTGTGTTACAGCCAATTATTTGCTTTTAAGTGTAATTGTGATTGTAAAATAGGAAATGCAGCAGCCAATTTTGCACACAAGTTCCCACAAACAACAGATAGTTTGTTTCTTTTAGTGATATTGATAAAGGGATAAATTGTTGTCAGGGCAGGGAAATATCATGGAAACATTTACATCCATTCAAGAGAGAAAAACAGGGCCTTGGTTTAACATTTTAGCTAAAAGGTGGCACTCTGAGAGTGCAGCATCCCCTCAAACCCAGATTGAAGTGTCAGGCAAGATTTTTTTGCTACCTTCTTTCAAGTAGCTCTTGAAGCTACAATCTTCTGTTTCAAAAGCCAAGAGTGCTATGGACTGAGCATCTTTTGGTTTCTGATTATATTTAGTGTTGATCCACACTACCCTTTCTTCCTACCTTAGAAACATTTTCACTACTGTTAAAGCTGGACGTCAGATGAAATTGTTCCAATAGGTTACAAGTTTTAGGTAGGAACAAATTACTGCAGATGCTGGAATCTGTGCTGAAAACAACAAATGCTGAAGATCACAGCATGTCAAACAGTGTCCATGGAGAGAGAGCAAGCTAACAATTCAAGTCTAGATGACTCTTCATCTGAGCTCTGATGAAGATTCATCTAGACTCGAAACGTAAGCTTGCTCTCTCTCCATGTCTGACAAATTTTAGGCAGTTTAATTTTTTCCCAAGAGCCTGCTGTGTTAAAATCAAAACATTCACAAACTTGAATCCTCTCTAAATTAATATATTGAGAAACATACATAAATCGAGTGCTCATCTCTTATAAAGCCACACCCTATAGTGCTGTCATAATCTGAACTCAGCAATGAAGAGCCTCAGGTGAAGCTCTGACCGTCTACAGCTTTAATACCACTAAACTGGATAAAACTGCACACTCCAAGCAGTGTCCTGGCCGAGTGCTGTCCAATTACACATTCCAGTGTCTTCAATGAGGTCTAATACTTGGCAAAGTGTCATGGTCAACAGACACAGCCTTTTAAATTAGAGCTCTGTCAACTCAAGAATTACCTGTTGCTAACTGGTTATTCAGACAACCATTCATCAAACATTACAGTTTAACAGGTTCTCTTTTGTCCTGTAAATATTTCAGTCTTGATCCGATAGTTAGTTTTTACCTTTGCCTCAAAGAAATGCTTGGCACCTTGAACCCCCTCGGTGGAGACATCAATTTCTGAAAGCCTGGCGAGAGCCATCAACCCACTGTCTTCCTCCAACTCTCCTGCTGCCGCCTTGTGGAAGATCAGAAGAAACTAAAAAGAAGTACAGGTACACTGAGCAAATTGGTGAACTCTCATCACTTCTATCCCCTAGGACAGGTCCAACAGCAAGCCTCGGTGTAAAAATTTCCATGTGTATCTGGGATATAAAGTCATAGAGCTATACAGCACGGAAACAGACCCTTCGGTCCAACTCATCCGCGCCGACCAGATATCCTAAACTGACCTAGTCACATTTGCCAGCATTTTGCCCATATTCCTCTAAGCCCTGCCTATTCATATACCCATCCAGATGCCTTTTAAATGTTGTGATTGTACCAGCCTCCACCACTTTCTCTGTCAGCTCATTCCATACATACACCACCCTCTGCATGCAAAAGTTACCTCTCAGGTTCTTTTTAAATATTTCCTTTCGCACCTTAAAGCTATGTCCTCTGGTCTTGGATTCCCCTACCCTAGAAAAAAGACCTTGTCTATTCACACTATCTATGCCCCTCATGATACCTCAATAAGGTCACCCCTTAGCCTCCGATGCTCCAGCCATTCAGCCTCGTCCTGTAACTAAAACCCTCCACAGCCAATCACACATTTTTTAAGTTTTAGTTGGAATTCAAGAAAATTATCTTCTTGAAACAATTCGTGATCTTAGCTTGAAAAAAAACCCCGACAAAATGATCACAAAAATGTGAAAACATGAGACTCTGGGCTGAATTCTTGCTCTTTGATCAACAGCAGAGTTGAAGCAATTCCCAGATGTGGAAACTCAACCTTGGGGAAAGTGGACCAGAAGTTCGGGTTTCTGTGCCGGGTCTGCTGGGTTTCATGGAGTTTTGGTGGGTGACCCCAGGGGGCTGCTGCAGGTGGAAGTAGGTTGGCCTTGGGGCTCCAGCACTTTGTTGAAGATATGGACAAAGGAATAAAACAAACTGACAGCTCCCACCCCTTACCTCCTAACCCACTACCAATTTTCCCACCTCCCTTACCTCCCAACCACACTCTTGCATATGCCATTCATGTTAAAGCATGTTACCTCATGCACTATCCCCATACCCTCCTTACCAACCTATGCTCCTCTAGGTTTCTCCATAGGGCCTTCATAGTCCCTACGTCCCTCACCTATCTTTGTGGCCCTTTACTGACCTAATGCCAAACCATTTCAATCAACCATGCCACCCTTCTGCCTTACACGTACCATGCCAAGTCACCCAGTATCCGTCACAGAAGATCTCAGGATCCATGCTGAGATCAAATAAAATTCTAGAGTTATTACTGATGATTTCCCTATTTTAAAAAATCTCATGATTAAAAAAGTCACATGGAACATCTTTAAATCACTTAAAAAAACAAGTACTGGAATTCATAGTCCTAGTTTAATTATTTATAATCGTCTTAATCTGTCAAACTGTGAACTGGCAGGCACCCTACTGTGATAATGAAAGGTTGAGAAATCAGAATCCAGCACTAATCATGCAAAGATAGTCCTCAGGCTTAATGTCAACAAAGTGAAATAGCAAGCAATGATTTCTTTTAAACATACAGGAGTGGGATTTTGAGACTGAGGTCTCTCTCTCTCCCCCACCTTACACTTCTTTTCTAAATTTGAGAGTTGCTCTGTCTATGCAAAGAATTTGAGTTTGTGAATTACTATACACACTTATGTAAAGTTTATGAAACTAAATGTTAGCTAAAAAGAGCATGAACTGTACTTATACACAACTTATTTTTTGAGATGTTGAAATTCTCTGATTATTTCATAGCTAATTTGTCAGGTTAGAGACTGTTCCCATTAACTCCATTCCCAAAAGTAGCATAAAAGAAGCCAAAAAAGTATTTTTCTTATTTTTTACAAAATGCCAGGAGCAGAACAGTTGTCTTTGAATAAGTAGTTTTGTAATTGACTGAGTTTGACTTCAACGGCAAGTTGGTAATATGTACAAAATATTTGGACTTTTTGGCCAAATGTTGGATATCAACAAAATTGACCATTATTTAAGTATGCATAGTAATTTCTGTGATTTTATCTAAACCAATTCTCTCTTGGCACAGTTGCTACAGTTAGTGATATTGAATGAGAGCAGGTACAATTACGGGCTTGCCTTCCTTCACTGTCACCCTGCCTCTTGGTAAAATACTGGGTTTAGTTTCCAGCCTGTTGGCCACATTGAAATTCCATACTACACCCTTTAGTCTTTCATTAGCAAAAGAAAGCTTTGGGGAAGACTATCAGGAAACATTTCTCTCCCCCAAAATCCCTAAACAGCATGAACAATGGGCATATAAAAAATATATTCCACAGCTTTTTTCTCTTTTTTGAGGATAATGCATCATCTCCATTTGGGAACTACCATAACAACAAAATTAAAATCAGGAGTTCAGAGAGAGTGGGGAACCCCATTCCCACCTGATGGCACAGATCAACTTTCCATCATTCCACGGTGCAGCATGCTGTAGTATCCTCAAGAATGACTCTTGATCAAGCAATTACTTAGGATTATGGCTTTGTGTTGGGTATTGGAGGGGCAGTTAAGAGATTTTAAAAAAAGATAAAAAAGGACAACAGAAAAAGGTTTGTGCTTAATACTGCTCTATTGGCTGATTCCACACCCAAAACAGAAAACAAAAATGTTATACAGGTATAACTAGTGCTTAATTGTGGTGTAGATTAAGGAAATTTTACACTGGACTTATTACATTACAGTGTAATGTGCACTTCCTTTCAAATATAACATTAAAATAAGTAGCATGAGTTAATGACATTCATTGTTTCATGTATCAATATTATTCAATGAATTAATAATGCTCACTGACTGGGTTCGCAACATGGACATTTAGGAAACCATTGTACACATTAAATATTTTTAAAGGCTTTACTGTAATAAAGCAACTCAAAACTACACACAAGAATAATACATGTACAAAGCTTGTTACAATATGATTTAAACTGATCATTTAAAGCAGAGCCCAAGCTCATTCAGATCACAGTAGTAAAATGGGAAAATTAAATCAAGATTTTGAATGTATAACACACTTAGACTCAACTGTCATCTATGTCAGTGAGATTTGGAAGAGAAAGCAAAGATGTTACATAACTTGGACATCTTTCACTGGTACTGCCTAAGCAAGATCTTGGGTATCATTTTGAGAGATAAAATTGGCAGTAAAGAAGTGCTACACAGGATTGGTCAGAGGTGCCTAAAAGGACATTGCAACAGAGAAGACGACTGAAACTGGCAGGATAAACACCTTGCCCTCCTGGGCATAGGTACTGCCACAATGGCAGCTGAATGCTCACTGTCAGACGGCTGGTTTAATATCTGGCAAAGTCAATTTATGAAGTCCCTACAAGAGTGGGAAGAAAGAATTACAATGGACCAAAATCGGGTGGTGGAGTCTTATTGCCCATTGTTCTGCACTGGACCACAGGAACAAAATGAGTATTCTGTCGCTTTCCTGCTTTGAAGATGGCATGCCTATTTCTTCCTTGGCACCATCTGGGAATGAACTTTGTGCTTGAGGCCAATTGATGAAAGAAAACCTGGTCGCTATTTGACACCAATTCCTCCCTTCCTTGGTTTCTTGAAATCTTGTAACTTACCATGGCATCTGTGAAGACGTCAGCTGAAAACATGTTTGCAAGAACTACACATGCGCGCAGTTACAGCTTGTGGATTTTTCATTAACCCATCCATATTGAATGAAGGAAGAATGGAAGGGTTTCCACTCAGTGGTGCGTTTTTTGATGACCCACAATATGAACAAATCAGGTACAAGTGATTCAAGAATAGAATCTGGTTCTATTTGATAAGGTACTAAAATGGCCTTTTTATAAATCCCTCTGCAAAATTCTTTGAGTCAATAAAAATGAAAACCCTTTGGTAATATTTAATGCAACTTTTATACAAGTAAATAATTAATTTCTACCACAAAGGATCATGGCTTTCACATTGCTAGTAGTGTTTTAGAATTAGTTATTTAAATTGCCATACACAGATTTTTCCTCAATTAATGCAATCACTAGTAAATTGTATTCTAGCAATGTCTGCTAGCTTACACAATAAGTAATCTACAAAATAAGCTATACTCTATTATCTATATCAGCTTCATTTATGCTATTAAGGGTATCTGTTACATTGATTACTCCTGCCAGAAAAAAACATCTTATTTCTAGAGGGAAAGAACAGCAGCATGCAAAAACCAACTTATATCAATTTCATTAGACCAAATTTAGTGCCCACTTATTGTACAGACATACCAAAAGCAAGCAAGGAAGACTTGAAATAGTACCTTTCACAACCGCATGACATGTCAGAATATTTTCCAGCTAATGAGGTATTTTTGAAGTATAGTCACATGTAATGTAGGAAATACACCAGCCAGTTTGTGCACAGCAAGGTCCCAAAAAACAGCAATATACTAAGGACCTAATAATCTATTACTATGAAATCGATTCACGGATAAATATTGAGGAACAAAGTTCTTCTTTAAATAGTACATTGCTTTTCTTTTTGGTCCGAGAGAGCAGTCAGTTCTAACGTGTGAAATCTTACCAGATAATGAATGACGTGAGCATTGCAAGAAAATTGTAGGAGATCAGAATTGAGACAACTCTAGACGTTGAGAGTTAAAAGGTCTTATTTTCCAACTAAGTGTTGAACAACAAAATGAGATTCTTGTCAGTGTTGAGCAACAGCACTTTGCATTTATTTGCATGTATTAGCATCTCATTATCAGTTAATCTCACTTTATTGATATGGAGTTTCCTGTTGTCCCACCGACAAAATACAAACTACAATATGGCAACTCCCGACATGAAAGTCAGAGAGATGGTAACCTGGTGACCCCAGCTTGCTGCTTGCTCCTCCAGGCCTCCATCTCTGGACACCATCCCCAAACTCAGGGTATACTTCATGGCAGCAATTCCCTCGCAGTCTTCATCATAGACATTGGCAATGGGACACGTACCAGCCTCTCTGCACCTACATGGCATTCCTCCTATTCACATATAATACAGTACTGCACTTGCATGCTGCACC